CCAACTTTGATCCAAAAGTTGGCTGAAAGAAAACCAAAGACAAAAGAACACATTTTTTGTTTGTTCCCGTGCTCTGTAATGTCTTTGTTACTCCATAGACCAATCTGTCAGCCTTTATTGCTTCCAGAACATATTGTATCCCTCCCCTGAAGCTAGAATCCCCTTTGGACCAAATGCTAATTCAGTCAGGCTCTTAATCAGACATATTAATTCCATATCTACCCTGATTGCGCTAATTCCACTCTGGTGTGATGTTTTTGATTTTTTTTCCCCCTCCTCAACGCATCTCTTTTTGGAGCAAAAAATACTGTAGTACCAATCAAGAGCTTTTAAACATTTAATCCCAAAAAATTATATTAAAACATGGATGTAAAAATTAATATGCTGGTCACTAAACTTAGAGTGAATCAGAATTGATGGGAAGTTGGATGAAAATGTAAACATTTCAGAAAACCTGATAAAGGCCGTAAATGGGGAAATTATTACGTTTGCCAAGCTATGTCTTTAAAATGACTTTACTGTACATCACTCAGCGCGCTCTTTCTAATGAAAAACTGGAATCTGGCAATGATTGCCACATTTTTTGGCATCTTAAGTGTTTGTCTATATTTAGGAAAGTCTGTGAGTAACTATGTTCATAGACTGCACAAGCGCAGACATGCACACACTGAAATACTGACAATATGTTAAAAAAATCCTGTAAGCTCACATGTTGTCTAGTAAACGTGGTGTACATCCCAGACATGTGTGATTCGATATCAAATGAAAATGTATCAAAGTACATATTTAGCTGAATTTTGAATGATTTAGTGTACATGATGTCACATACAGAATTAATTAGTACCAGGCAATTGTACTCCATCTTAATGCCCACTAGTGGCAGATCCAGAAGATTTTACATGGGGACTGGGAGGCTAGTTACTATTTACATTTACTCCTTTACAATGAAATCATGCTAAATGAAACCATGTCTGATTTCAGGGTAAATTAGCTGTTATATTAAGATTTACTATTTACATTCTTACCTATTTATTTTAAGCAGTCTGACAATCAGTCTAATTAATATGGTTTAACTGGGTGATGCCTTGCTGTGACATTGATCATATGGAGCTGCCTTTGTAACTTCAACCCCCAAAACAGCAAGCCATAAACATTTCACACATTTTAAATATTCAGAAACTCTTCTTGAATTTATCACAAGCAAAATCTAACATGCAAAATTTGCTGATACTCTAAGAAATCACATGCGAGAGTCACTGTCAGAAACTGATAATTTGATAAAGCGACGTATAAAACCGTGATCATCTTCATTGCAAACTTCATTGGATTTTAACTTTTTGTGCTGACACATAACCTGGAGAAAGTGGCTCCTCAGATGTCAGTGTGCTCGTTACACACTAGCATGTGTGGTCGCTGTGCAAGAGGTAGAAAGCATTTAATGCAGGGACATAGCCAGATTTTTCAGGAATCTCAAGATTATATTTATAAATATAGAATTTTTGGTGGCTCAACATTTATGTTGAAGGCTATAAAAGACTTCTGGACAAAAAAACATAAGATTTATATGTTTTTTTTTTTTAGGTTATAAAACTGGGGAGGGCAGCAGGGGAGTAAAAGTCTACTGGAGGGGGTAGTTGCCCCCTCCTTTGCCTCCTGTAGTTCTGTCCACATTGTCAGCTAATGTGTTTTGTCTTGTGGAATCATGTTGATCTGGAATCCATGTGCACTGTGCAATGATTCTGTCTGTCTGTCTGCCTGTCCACCGAAAACACATACATTTACCATTAGATAATGACAAATGGCTAACAGAGCTAAGCTTATTTCACCACTTCTCCTCTGGGAGTCTATTCTCAGCATACTACAAACTGCACTGCCTCTCCCCACAAAATATCCTAATTGAACAAGTGGCTGCTCACCCATTTGATTCAGCATGGTATGCTTTTCTGGTCTGATTCAGAGGGTGATGTAGTGTGACCAGCAGGTCAAAATATGTTGACTTTTTGGAGCAGAAGACACTGATATTAGTCATGATTTGTTGCAGCAATGCTCTTTGAGACAAGGATGTTATTTTTGAAAAAAAAGAGAGAAGTAGAATATGGCTTAGTTGGTCTTGACTTAATGGTTTTATGTGGATGAATGATGTTAAATTAGTAATGAGAAAACGAAACTCTTGCAGTCACGCAAAGACGTCAGTAAGACCACTGAATGATGCAGTCGTTTTTTATTTACTAAACTTACTGCTGGAATATATATATACTGCTCAAAAAAATAAAGGGAACACTCAAATAACACATCCTAGATCTGAATGAATGAAATATTCTCATTGAATACTTTGTTCTGTACAAAGTTGAATGTGCACAACAGCAGGTGAAATTGATTGTCAATCAGTATTGCTTCCTAAGTGGACAGTTTGATTTCACAGAAGTTTGATTTACTTGGAGTTATATTGTGTTGTTTAAGTGTTCCTTTTATTTTTTTTAGCAGTGTGTATATATATATATATATATATATATATATATATATATATATATATATATATATATTTTTTTTTTTTTTATGTAATTTTTGGGAAAAAATGCATAGGTTATATTTTGTTCTACAGAATCAATGCTACAGACTGACATTATAGAAACATATCTCACTTTATCTGCTTTTGAACTGCCAGCTGTTTTTTTGGTAATCTGCGCATTTAAGCTTTGCATAGATCTTACAGATATATTCTAAAATACTCACTTAAGAACCAAAATGAAAAACATAATGATATATCACTTTGGAGTATGATGACAAAAGGCATGTTTGTTTTTTTTTTTTTTGTGTGTGTCAGAGTGTGTTTAAAGAATGAAGGTGGGGTGAAGGGGGGTGTTGCAATATTGATGCTGTTGATAGTAACAGCGGTGATAATGCTCACAACAACAGATTCTATATCCATCATCTACTTGGTAATATAAATGTATCATTTTAAAAGTGGTTTAAGCTTTACAGCTCTGCACTGTCAGCTGTAAACACAGCATGTTGTGCTGTGTTTACGATCCATTCATTTAATCACTTTCATTGCAGTTCTTCTCAGTCGCTTTGGTACATTTCTCAAATCATCCTCGACATTATTTGTGAAACAGTGTATTTCTTAAGACATTCCATACAAACAGCAAAACACTATGGACTACCCGCAAAAGCCAGCACCTTCCTCAATATCCTTGTTTCATCTCTCAAAAGCAAACATCTGCGTTAGTGAACATGCCAGTGCCACCAGTGTTACAAGTCTTTGTTTCATTGACTATGGGAAAGGCAGTGGAATTCCTTAGTCAGGTCAATATCACAGTAAACTCTTGAGGGATGTTCCACAGTAAATTACGGCTGAAGTTTTCATGATAAATATTGAATGTTGGAATTGTGGGAGACCAATGCTTAGAGAGTGAACAAGATTCACATTTATGCTTTTACTGTAATTTGTTGACAGACAAAGAAACCTTATCTGTGTATGTGTCTGGTGGTTATGTGTTTTACATCTCCTTGATGAGGAAAAAAATCCTCAGCGGGATTAAGGAATGCAGCTAAAATTCAGTTGATGGGTGATAGTCACTGAGCATTAAATTTTTATTCTCAGTCGCCCACTTAATTCTTAAATATGGAAAAAAAAAGAGACCTATGTCGCATCAGAAGTATTGTTCCCAATTCGAACACCTATTTTTTTTTTCTTACCCCTAATACAGACTACAAAACAGAGAGGAAATGGAAGCAGAACTCGATCTTCTACAAAGTATTTTCTCATATTTCAACCAATATTGACCTATTTAGTGATACACCAACGTATGCAGTGAAAAGACAACATTAAACATTTCATGGTTGCTCAAGTTGCAGAATGCTGGTAGGCAATCAGACACTTTGGTACCCAAGATTCTGTTGAATCTGCAAATTATGGTCATTGTATCATTATTCACTGTAAAGTTCTGTATTTCTGCTTCATTGTATGAACTGTACCTTTGTTGTGATTTAACTTATGCATGGAGGAGCTTCCCTCTTAATGCCACTGGCATTCATTTTCAGCCTGAGATTATTTGAAACTCACACTTGAGTAAAATTGTTACTGCGTGACACTTCCCCTCATTTGGATGAACGTCGGTACTGCTGTGTATTTTGAGGTAATCCCAAATACACAATTCTACTGATAAAACTACTTAGGAGACCCTGAAAAAAACTTCCTGAGAGTTTTATCTAACAACCCTCGAACAATATTTTATCTTAAGTTCAACAAATGTAAATGTGGAATATTCCCCTTTTTTCATTCATTGTTGGATTTTCAGGTGCACAGCATATAGGGACTAATGCGCTTGTGGCATTCCACGGCTGTTATCCGAGTGTCATTTTAAAATAATGTGACAGTACATTTAACATTTGTGAACCCAAAAAACAAAGTTTGGTGTGATAAGCACACACATTTATATTCTGTTGTTAATCAAACACACACTTATTTGCACAGTTTCTACACGGTACTGTTGTGTGGCATGAAAGATAGAAACCTTAATCTCTGTTTGCTTTCCTTCTCAATAATTTATTTACCAGAGGCCATCCTCATTGACTGTGTACCAAACTCACACTGTGCATTTATTTGTGTGTGTGTGTGTGTGTGTGTGTGTGTGTGTGTGTGTGTGTTTGTTGCAGAGCCTTACTCAAGGCTTTATAGAATTGAATATTGCATTGACCCTCAGGAATGAGGTTTTCTAGGCATCTAGGAGCATATATTGTAGTCACTCTTAAGCAAAATCTCAAAGTCACAATTACGAACATCTGTGAGGGAAACAGTAGTACAGAAAACATTTTTTCTCAATAAGGAGTGCATTAAAGTAGATGTATTTGCATTAGATGTATAAGTCAACTATATTTTATTTGTAATTTCTTAATCAAAAGGTGTACTTACTAAAGCCTGTGGTAAGGAAAATTAATAAAATGTTTTGTTTTCTCAAGAATGACCTATGCTTATACCTTGTTTCTTGTATTTACAGGCACGCATGTTGGACTGGAAGCTGGAATAAAAATGACTAGAAGTCAAAGTACAAGTTATTGAACTGGCAGGTATGAAGTAAGCTTGAAATGGGAATTTGGTCACCTTGACCTTCTTTCTATCATTAGTGTATTTTTGGAATTCTTGGAAAAGTACAAAATCAGAGAATGAATTATGAATGGAGCCTTTACTGTTAAAAAACAGTGCAATACAACAATGAAAAATAAAAATCTGTAGCAGACTAAAATATATCATCTGTCTTTAAATAGATGGTTTTAATGCATCAAACACTGTACAAATCAAAAGCACAGTGTTTTTTAGTTAAAATAAAATAAAATGTGTTCTATTTTAACAGTAAAAATTATATTATTATGCAGAACAATTATAATCTGTAATTTTTCTTTGTTTAATCCTTAAAAATAGAAAAAAAAATGCTGAACTGTTTGAAAGATACTTAAAATTGCTTGACAGCCTATTAGGAAAAATAATCATCCAGGTTATTAAGAACATTAGACTGGAACAGTGCTGGCACTAAAGGATGCGCTGGGTCCTTCAAAGTAGCATCACTTTCTTGGGCAGCTTTATGACCAGGCAGAGCAATCACTGAAGGTAACGACTCCCACTAGAAGGTTTACTTCCCAATAACCAACCCGTAAAGGACAACAAATATGTTCTAATTACCTAACTAATGAAGTCTTGTTTTAGGGTTGCTGTTGTTTTTTTTTGTTTTGTTTTTTTTGACCACATATTGTTGAAATATTCAATTTCAGAAATACTGATTTGTTTTCAGTCATTTTCACTATACAAAGGACGTCTGTCAGTGTAGTGTTGTTTTTGAACCATCAGAGAAGACTCCCAATGACCCAGGTTTGAATTATATATGAAATATTGCACCATAAAGGACTGTATCGTCAGCAGGGTCAGTTTTTGATGTTGGCAATATGAAACTTTGTTTATTTTCAGTACTCACATTGAATTAGTGTTTGTGGGTTTTAGAACGACTTTCTAAGTCGAATTTTTCCAAAAGTCTATTTCTCTCTAAACAGAAAATAATGTTATGGGTTGACTTGACTGCATGAACAAAATCAGAAGTTATGATTCTAACTGAAACACACACACATATTTTTTTATTTTTTATTTTTTTTCAAATGTAATTTCTTTAAATTTAGCTCCACCTATACCACTTTAATCAGTTGACAAGACCTGACTACAGTACATTCATACATGGCTCAAAAAACAGAACATGCTTGATTGTGATGGAGGTCATGTCTGCGATCTCACATGACAGCAGTCGCTTCATTTTCACTTACATCCTAATAGTCCTGTCTAGTTGCCAAATACTACAGATTGATGGAGACTTTTCCCGAGTGGGAATAAGAGGTAAAATTAGGCAAATAAATAAATAAATAAATAAATCATATAATTTCAATCTGGAAAGATTCACACAGAGAAAAGCAGCAGCAATTAGAGAGTTTTATTTGACTTGAAAGTAGGTTTCTTTTGGTACTGAGACTCTGACAGAAGATGCTGTTGAGAATAAATAATTCTGTGTTTTCCTTCCATCTCTTTTAGCTAGTTGCAAAGCTAAAGCTAAAGGAAATGACATGTTAGAAAACGCCCTCAAAGCTACGGTTAGAGGATATGACACACTAGGGCAGGGGTCACCAACTCCAGTCCTCAAGGGCTACCATCCTGCAACTTTTAGATTCACTTCTGCTCCAAAATGTCTGAATTCCCTCACCAGCATTCATTCCTCTCTGCAATAGGCTGGAAATGAGCAGTTTATTTGATCCAGGTGTGTTTGAGCAGAGACGCATCTAAAAGTTACAGGATGGTAGCCCTTGAGGTGGTGGGTAGAAGCACAGCTGGGAAGCAGGTGGATTGATGTATGATGAGCTTTATGAAGGGATTCTTGATCGATGATTGGCTGAGGAGGAGCGGGGATCTGGCGGTGATTGGCTGCGGCAGAGACAAGCAATGACGATGGAGATGAGGGTAGAGAGAGTCTCCCAGCTTCAATTTGGACCACAGGCTTCATGTGTCTTCATCTCAACACGAGAGAACATGCAAACACGCAGCAAAAATAAAGTGCATATAAGTATAAGAAAGCACTATAGTCAGCCTTAAACCTGAGAGACAGGTTATCGTTTCAGTGTGGCAAAATAGAATGGAGATTCTTTAACGACAAATGCTATATTCAAAGTAAAGAAAAGTTCACACAATTAAAAAAAAAAAACAGATTTGTCTCACAGTCAGGATAAATAATTTAACTACTTCGATAAGGAGGTTACTGCATATTGGTAGCTCAATTATTGGCCAAATTGATTGATTAAAAAAGATGATGGGTTAAGCAAAGCCGTGTTGTTGTTTTTTTTTTTCATATAGCATATGAAAAAACAGAAATATTATACAAAATAGGTTGATGTATATTTCACAGGGAGCAGTATTTAGTTTTTCTACCTTCACCACAATAATTCATTCTTTTTTTTTTTTTTTTTTTTTACAAATGCACCAGGCTTTTGGTCGCTTTGGAACTTTGTTGGTTTCTTGTGATGCTTTTAAGCTCACGTATAAAGGCGCTGTCTGTCAGACTTTTTAAAAAGTCAAATGCCATTCATCTTATTTGATATAACTTGCATGAATAGTTGCTTTTGTGGTTCACTAACTTCAAAGCTTCTTTTCATGTGGTTTTACTCAAATTTGATCTATGCTTTTTTTCTATCCATTCCTGTGGGGCTAGATAGGATGCCTTCATAGAAATTGATATTAGAGTGCTGCAGTGAACTCAGTTGGCCTGTTTTTATCTCTTGAAAATGTTTTTCCGTGCATTCTTTCTACACTACGGCTTTAGGATTTTTAAGAACAGTTTTGTGGGAAAGACCTGAGCTCAGCAAAAGAAAATGTGCAATATGACTAGACATTAATGGCTATGTGTCAAGCAAAGTACTTAAGTTTGTGAATAGAATACAATGTATTTTTGTAGGTTTTGGCCAAACACAATTACCTGGAACTAAAAAAAGTCAAATTTTTATGAGACGACATAACAGTTTTCAGATATTCAAAGATCCTCAGCCAGAAGAGACATTTGTTTACTGAAGACTCTTTTGGAATGTTTGTAGATTTATATGCCTTGTCATACAGTCCTCTACAAATACATGACAAAGTAAAGCATGTTTTAGGGGGAGGACTTGTTTGAACATTTGAGCTGGTTTGCAAATCCCCGTCATCATTGATGGATTACAGAAGACTGCCATCAAAGTATTTTTAACAAAAAGTTAATTTATTGTCATAAGACATTTGAGGTAGTTTGATATACTCAAAACACTCACAGGCAGAATTTAAAAAGCCTTACAAAAACTTTAATATAATCCCTATTAACACAGGTTATTTATCACTTACCAGCTGAAATTTTGCACAATGCTTTTGAAATTGGACCCTTTTTTTTTCATCTTAAAGAATTTCTTTACATTTAAAACAAGATTTAGGAGACTTATTCTGCTTTATGATCAGTTAATTTATTTTCTTTTTGTTTTGTTGTGTTAAGTATTCCTTAAGGTTTCCCCCTGCAGTTCTGGTGTTACTTATTTGGCCTTTTAAAAGCCATTACCAGTACAAGACAGTAAAATAAGTAAATAGATAAGCAAAAAGAGTACTATACTGTATATATGTATATACTGTATACTATACTGAGGCAGATTATACAGAGGACAAAATGTTGATTAGTGGGACAAAATTCTTACCAGATTGAACTGTTTGGTAGTGGACTTAGTTTCACAACAACCTTATGCAGATTTATCAAAGACATTGTTAAGCTGACATGCTAGTGCCAACACAATTAATCATTTCATGCAAAACCGTTTAAGGATATTAAGTATAGCAGATGGTCCATCTGCTTGACAATTATGCATTCTTAAGAAACACTCGATGTGGAGCTGTTCTGTTCCGTTTCTGTAATTATTCCTCAGTGAGAATTTATCTAACCCTAACCCTAACCTCCTACATTTTGTGTTACTACTCAAATGTTTTTCACTAGAAACCAGTTCATAAATAGATGATCCTTTCTCTATTATTTTGACTGATCATTACTAGCATTCTGGTGGTTTAGAAATATCACCATGAAGTATGAACAACCGATTACTGCAATGACTACACCACAGAGCTCTAGAAGTTGAGGAACAACTGTTTCTCATAGGGAAATAATCCCACCCGTCTGTGTGAGCTCACTTGCCATTTAGCCTCTGCATGATTGAGAAACCATTAAAATGATGCACACCAACCTTGACCTCAAACAGACGCCAGAGTGACAGCAGCATTACTGACAGACTCCTGCCATGACATCCTTGAGGAGTAGTTAGCAACCATTTTCTACCCACAGCTTCTCTAAAATGTTCACAGGGTGAAGATTGATTTTATCAATAGCTCTTGTCTCCTACTAGTTCTCGCTGCCAGCACACCGCTCTCCATGAAACAAGCCAAATGCCATGCACACATCTTAGGGAACTGTGCATATAATGAAAGCCCACACTTTGTATGAAAACACATGTATCAAAAATATCCATCTGCATGGCTGCATAATGTCTTCATTTTGAAATATCTTAACCTACAGCTTAATTCTTATGTATGAACTTTTCCTACATATAATAGGTACAAATTTCCATTTATATTCAAGATTTTGTCAAAACATATGCATCTTGACTTGATCTGCATGTATGAAATCAGTGCAGTTGCACACACGTACAAAAAACAACCAACATGTCCCACAACTAAAAACTCACATGCTATTTGGTGTGCAGCAGCTGATGTTATGTTTACTCTCAACAAAACACTAAGAAAAGACCACATTCAAAAATAGAGAAAAACACATCATTGTAAATAGCGAGAGACTATGTTTACACACAGATGCACTGAACAAACATGTAGTGATAGCACAGAGCCCCCAAGAAGTAATGGCTGCAATGAAGCTTGCTGTAGTCACAATTAGTGTTGGTGTCATACATGATAGTGCATGACAGCATAGCCAAGCCTTTGTTTTTAGATCAGAGGATTTGAAAAGCAAAAATACAACAACCTA